TGAAGTTGGCATATGGATGGTGTACGTTTGGAGCTCCTTATCCCCTTATCCCCTTTGCTAGTTGGGAAGAACTCCCCAGTTTTGAGGTGGCTCCTGGGAAGGCTCCATCTCCCACACAGATGGACTTGCCTCCACTCTGTCCAGGAGCAGACTGTCAAACTCCTTCTCACTCAGGTTATTTTCCAGAATTGCTGAGCTATCCTGGATGTAGGCTGGGAAGCACCATAAATGGAAGTGTCACCATGCTGGAGAATTCTTCCAAATGCTTTTCCTCTGCCTGTGACTCTCTATCTGGTCTTGACTGAGCTCAGCTTCATTCATTAGTTTAGTTTTTCCAAGTGCAAGGCCATGCTGGTGGCACGAGTTCCTTTATACAGGATGGAGAGCAGATGTCCATCTGTTGTCTGACCAGTTCATCTGCTGGATCCATACAGATGTTCAATGTGCCCGGAGAGGAAATGGACCCATTAAAACGTCCCTGATCAGGAATCAAGAGGCGGAGATGCAGCTTCCAGCTATGGCTGCTAGCTGAAGATGATGGGGCTAGAACTGGCACCAAGTCCTGATAGTCCTCATCCCTGTCCTATTGATTTAAAATAGGTCAGGAAGGCAAATTTGTTTTGCAGCTATGCAAGTCCCAGGCCAAGAATGATGTCCTGCACAAAACAGTCCTGGTCTATGAGGAGTAGCTCTGGGATACTTTGAAAATATAAATAAATACATGCTAAGAACTGCAGAAAAGTCTCACTCAAGCAACGTATTTTGAACAAGTTTACAGCTTTTTCTCCGCCCAGTATGCTTTCCCAAAATATTGGCACGGAAAACTGCTTGATTTCATACCAAAACCCAAACCAGACCTCATTTCTGTTCTGTAAGTCTAGTCCCATGAAATTTCAGTAAGAGCTTTCTTTAGTGAGTTTGCTTTAACCTGACTCCAAAAAAAGATTCTGAGTGCACCAAAATTCACCTGTTTCAAGACTTTTAAGAGAATGCTTCTGACGCTGTAAGTGCTGAGAGCATTCTGAGGACTTGAACATTTAGATTCAAACTCTGCCAGCACAGAGAGAAGACTTTTTTTTTTTTATTCTTGCTGCATTTTGGATTTAACATTTACCTTCAATGCCAGAAGACTTTAAAATACAGTTTTTCATAGAGGAATATGCAGCTACAAATTCTCTAGATCTAACATTTTAAAAAAGATCCATGGGACCTAATCCTACCGGCTTCCTCCTGGTCTAAACCATCACTGACTTCTCTGGAAGATTTTTTAGATTAAACTCTACAGCACCAGAAAATCCACGTGCAATAAAACGTAGAAAGCACAAAAGATGTCTTCTTTTTCATATAGACAAAAGGTCTGTAAATTAGTTTGACGTGCCTAATAACTTTCAAAATTGTTTAAAGGTGGAATTTAAATAAGCAGCCAAGTTTTCAGCAGATGCTCCGGGATGCTTGATACTCAACACGCCTGAAAAATCTGTCTGTTCAGATGCTGAAATACAGATGTAGGCTCCCACTGTATTAATGATTTGTTTTTAGGAAAAAAAAAAAAAAGAGCCTAACATTTGCTTATATTAGACTAGAAAATGAAAAAAAAATGGTGGTGAAATTTTTCCTTTTTTACCTCCATTCAAGCTCCCTTTTTTCTTAAGATGAAGAGGATTCACTTTCATTCTTTTTTTACATGGGTACATTTATTATTGACTAAGCACCATCATGTGCTCAGTGTGATTAAAGAAAAGAAATGTAGGCCTTGCACTCAGGTAGCTCACAAGAGGAAATAAAACCCCCAAGAGATGTCATGTGGGATAGTACTTGCTTCCACCACCTCTTAAAGGCATAAAAGCATCTTTCCTATTTCTGCTGTGCTCTGTAGTTAGGGATGATGTTCCTCCAGCACAGGCAAAAGAACACGTTATTAAATACTAATATACAATCCTGGAGAAATACTGGTTTAATGTGTGTGTGTTTGTGTCATTGTGTGTGTAATACTTGTAATATACACACATTTTTAAAGGGATGTGTTACAATCTTGTGGTTTCAGAAAAATTTGATTAATAGCTCGCTTTCCAGTATTGGCATAGTAAAGGATTTTTGTAAGTTAGGCTTTTCCACTTTTTCAAAAGCAGTGTTTGGAACAACATCACTACTTCCTATTAAGTTTAAAGATGAAACCAGTGGTGTACTACCATACGTATCAAATCTGAAGTAGCTGAGTGCTTACTTTCAGATACTTTTATTTACTGTTACATAAAATTTAATTCAGCTGCATCCTTGAAATTGCTTTTGAAATTTCTTTATAAACATAGAAAAAGACCTAATCTATCATAATATTCTTCTCATGATATTCTAAATACTTATATTTTGAAAACCTCAACACAACAGAAATTATATGAAGAATTCTTATTTGACATGTTAAAGACACAACATTTTAAATTTCATTACTGCTTTCTTGACTGTGTGTCACAATTCTGTAAAGATCAGGTTCTTGTGCTGAATTGGGAATGTCTTCACTGGGATGAATCTATTGTTTCCCTGCTGAGTTTGGTGGTTTCAGTTTGTAGCCTGCTTAAAAGTAGGAAGTTCTACTTAAAAAAAATCGCAACAAACAAAAAAAAATCTTGTACCGCAATCTTTGTGGAAAAGAGCCCTCTGAGCACAAGTAAGGATGACACGGATTTTCCATCCAAGCCAACAAGGGAGCTCCGAGGATGCAAAAAGCAGCTGGTAGCACACTGCAACTGCCTGTCAAAGGAGGCTGCACCCATTCTTCGATTACCTGAGCTGCACCCCTTAGTTCAATATTTGCCTTCAAATCGCGAGAAGAAAGAACCGAAGGATGCTTTGTACACAGGAGCCCGACAGTCACAGAGTGGTTATGGGGAAAAGTCACAGAAAATCACCATGTAAGCACTTCTCCCGCTTCCCAAGTCAAAAATGGTGCAAAATAAAGAAAACTACACTATGTCTCCCGTATAGCCATGCTATCAAGCAGCATGTACATAGCATTATTTCACTTACCAGTTTACTGGATTAGCCAAGTCACTGTCATATGCTGTTGTAACTGATACGATATTTTGGAAGAAAAAGAAATTTTGCTCCATGTTTTTGCCTTAGGTAACCAACGCTGTACATCTGTATGCTCTAACACTTATTTTATTAAGCATGTTTAGCGAGTCAGAAAAAAAATTCATCCAGATTTGCAGAAGGAGTTTCCTTTATTGTTCAAAATATTTGTCAGCTTTCACATTAACCTACCAAAGTTTTTGAAAGTGAAGCCTTATAAATGCACAGGACACACATATACACGTATGTGGAATACACATGCTACTCGCTAACAATTTTCAGTGAATACAAGCTGACTGTGACTTTCATGATGTTTTCTCTCCTGTATGTTAAGTCAATGACCTATTTAAGTACATTGGCAGCAATTTATGTCTTCTGGCTTTATATTTCACAAAGAAATAGTGTGTTTTGTGTTATTTACATTAAAAAGACATACTATGTAAAACTTCACCTTTGTTAAAAATCACTTTATCTTAAGTATTTAAATTATTTCATGCTTTCAAAAGGCACAATTAAATATCTAACGAGAACTTCCATTCAATGTTACACATAATACAAAAAGAGAAAAATGTTTGAGACATCAATGATAATATTTTAAATATATTGGCACAGGAAAGTAGATGTCTTTTTGCTTTATTAAACTGACAGTTCAGTTCTGAAACTTTATTTTGAAAAGATTTAAAAAGGATTTGTGTCTTTAGAAATAAAAAATATAACAGGCATATCTAAAAAATATAGAAGAGAAAACCTGATTGTTACTACTAATGAAATAGCTGATGACAAAATAGTAGTCTTTTTGATTTTGATCACAAAAAATAAACTGGTAGTGACAGGATATGATGGATAGATTTGACATCCTGGCAAATCACTGTCATTGATTCAATTATTCTAATTCAGAATAAAAGCTGTATACAGTATGTGTTTATGCTACAGTGGAGTTTTTTAAGTGATTGACATTCATCATATTAGTTAGACAGTTTTAAAAGCTATGTCTTTGTTTTACACAGTGTTGTCAAGAAAAAAATAAAGTAGAACCTGGATTGCAGGGGGAAAAAAAAAAAAAAAAAAAGCAGCAAACCACTTAACCAACTCTTGGTTCCAAACCCATCAAAATAAGTTGCCATTATTGCAGCCTATTAACACGTTCTTTGAAGAGTCAGTTTCACTCCAGCCATGTATAATAATACACTATAATAGAGACTAAATTTTGAAACTGTAATGCAATCTTACAGCTGGGTGGCTTGGAAGTTCTGCGGAGAAGAAGATATTACCTTACAAAATGGAAGTCAGCCTCAGAAGAAAGAATGCAAACCACTTTAATTTACAGGTTAGCTTTGCTTTACCGTTCTTTTGTTTGATAAGATATACACAGAGGTACATACAAAACAGGTAGGAGTTCACAAATTGTGTATGTGAGGGTACAGAAGCTTGAATTACTTGTATATTCTTCCCTGCTTTAGACCAGCATGCTGTGATATCCTTCCCCGAGCTCACATGCACTCTTCTGGTTTTCTAGCATTAATGTAGCTGTCGGTTTGAATTTCAATCTTGAATTATGTCTGTTGACATAATTTCATAGCGCTGACTTCAATTGTTTAGGATTACTGTTTTGAACTACATAAGGAAATCAATTCTTTTCTCTATGGCTAGTAAATCCCATTCAAGTGCATTTTAATGCATGTAGTAAGCCATAAGGCAGAGTAATTATCTAGAATATATTCTGATTCAAAAAAACCCCAACCATTCCTAACTACTGGCATATTAGAATAAAAACTATCTTATATAGTTTAAATTTATTATTACATATTTAATAAACTAATGTAAATATTTCCTGAAATTTAAGAATAATATTTCAATTACAAAAATTAGTGGTTTTAAAACTGTAACTGTGTAGTTTCCCTTCCGAATAACACATGACAATGAATCGCTAGTTTCATTCCTTTATTTCAATAAACCATCCAACTTAACTTATTATTCATACAAAATATTAAATGTACGTATATAAAAACTCCATTGGGAAAAATATCCCTTTATTTTTAATGTAAAAAAAAAATCTACGAATGAAAGGATAAGAGTATTTTTCATATTTTAAGGAAAATCTTCGTATTTCCAGTCAAGCAGAACAATGGCAGGACCCAACATAACAGAAGCTTTAACAAAAAGCAAAATCCAAACAAGCCCAAAATTAGTACAAAGAAACCAGAATATAAAAAAAAAAAAAAAAGAAGGAACCATATGATAACATGTATTTTTAAAGACTGCTGGGTCAAATCATTAAGAAAAATATTTATATAAGTCATTAACACTCATAATTAGAGTGTCATATAAATCTGAGTGAAACTGCTAAGTAGAAATCACTAGAAGTCCAGGTGCTTCTTGCCGATGGCCATAGCACCACATCCTGAGCTCAGCAGTTTGGCGGATTCTGCCAGATCCTGTTTGCTTGTGCGGCTCACTGTGTCTGACAAGTCTGGAGGCAAATGCAGTCGCTGTGGCAGGAGATTTTCAGGAGGGAGAGGGAGAGAGAGAGACGGGGAGAGAGAGAGAAGAAAGCGAGAGAGGAAAAAACAGGGAGGGGGAAAAAAAAAAAAGAATAATTGCAGTAGAATTTACTTTCCATAGCATATTTCAAAATGCAGTCTTTTTCCTGACTGATCAGTGTTTTCTCACACAAATAAAACACTTCCCAGACACTCTTTCAGGCTGACCTAGAAACAGTTTTGTACGTTTTCAATATATTAGATACTCTAAATGGAAATAGATTTTTTTTTTCCTCATGAACATTTTCTAAACAAAAAATTTGCTCAAGGTATTTAATGACATCTATAGGCATTTTTCTTTTAAAAACAAGTGCTTTGCCTGTATGTCTACCCCTGCATCAAATCCTTTCATTTCTATGGCATTACAAGTACAGTTTTATATCAAACATGCATACTTTGTGGCAGGGTCTGAAAAGAAATGGTCTAAAGACGGAGAGGGCTCGCCGTGGTTGCAGCATCATTGTGCTAAATGTTTCTTCTTGATAATCTACTGATCATTGTTAATAAAACCAAGCAGTGATAGTAGTTGTATTTGTATAAGGCAGTCACATATGCCAATCAAACCTTAGCATCCCATGTGGGTTGTAGGAACATTACATCCAGTTTACAGATGGGGAAACTGAGACACGGGTTATACTGTTATCCACAAGCACACAGTCCTTGCACAATACACCTTATTTTGCAACTATGACAAAAAATATTTCAACTCTCCCGAGGATCTTTTACACTGGAGATATATATATAAAAGACATGACATTACCATTTAGTTTTTGTCAAGTAAGGTGAAAATTAAATGTAAAACTGAGGCTTTACTTGGTTAATTACTGGCTCACTTCTGGGCACAGTGAGGTACTGAAGCCGGTCAGATGAGACAGTTGAGCATCTTCTGCACAGTGCAATAATTTATGAAACTGGTATCAAGGATGTAGCATATTTCTTGAAAGATTTAGTAGGCAAAGGCTAAACTGTGTGGCTCTTCTTTTAAAATGCACATGCTTCTGAAGGGAACAGAGCAACAGTAATGGCTGCAACACTGTATTAGGAGGCGGTGTGGACTATCCTTATTCTCTGCTTTTGCTTTGTTTTTGCTTTTATCACAACACATAAATACAGCTGCCTTTTACTCAATTCCTTTGCAACTTTCGTAGGATAAGAATTCCGTTGAAAAGCGTAAGAATTATCTGCATTTACAGCAGGCTGACTGTTCAATTCATTGCTGGTTTTGAGATTGTGCAATTAGGCATAACTTGAGAGGTGCTGCAAAGCGCTTCCCACCACCGGCCACTCCTGGCTGTGGGCAGTACAGGGAGGAGAACGTGTGCGGGGTTGTTGTCTTCTCCAAGGGAAGGAAATGTTTCAAGTAATGCATGTGCAGTAGGAAAGCCTGTGCCCAGGGTGAGATGACATCCCTCAGTGTTGAAATAGGAAAAATGTGTGTATTTATTTGTAGCACTTTGCCTACAAAGCACAATTTATGTATTCAAACCCACCCCCCATGTATAGCATTTAATAACTAGATGCAGCTCTTACCTTTTACTGTAATAAATCAGTGCTGTGGTATGGTATCCTTCACTCAGTTTTTCCCTTATTCCTAAGAAGGTTAAGCATGGCTGTGGATGTGAACTGTGCTCCATGATGCCTCGTTTCTGCATCAATACAACATAAACTAGGGCATGTGCCTATCTTGTTTGTCTGCTGAGAAAAACGTTTGCTAGGAAAGAGCCAATGTACCACTTGGATTGCAACCACTGCAAAACAAAGGATGAGGAAAAGCCTGGAAGTGCAGGGGAGCACTTGACAGATCTGTCAGTCACAATGTGAGGTTAATGGTTGGACTGGATCATCTTCAAGGTCTTTTCCAACCTAGACGATTCTGTGATTCTGTGATTTTCTTTCCCAAAAAGTGTACAGTACTCTGCCAGCAGGGTACCTGGTATGTGGGAGGTGGAGAGGCGAGTGAACTAATCCAACCTTCTCCCACTCACTGTTAGCACCTACCTGCCCTCCCTGGGGAGCAGGAGGGGCAGGTTCCTCCGTGGGAAATGTAGTACTGCTGTCTTCCTCCTGCAATTATGGACCCTTTTGCCAAGCCTGCCAAATGGATTCAGAGCAAGGTGATGAAGAGCAAACAGAACTGAGACTCAGCAGACTTAGGGACTAACTAATATCACAGACAGGGAACAATTGTAAACCCTGTCACACTGGCCTGGACTTAAAGTGTGGTCCCCCCCAAAAAAAATCTTTGGTATTTACACAGCCTCTTCATCAATGCTGTGTTTGTTTGCTAATATGCATTGTAAACATAAAATAGAATATTCATTCAATTTGCAAGGACTCAGATAGGAAAAGTAAAAATTAAAGATCCTCTGACTGGACGGTGGGACTGAATTAGGTTTTTACAGACATATTTATTATGATACAGTGTTCCATTATACATGCATGTATTCTTCCCCCATCTTATTCAGTGAAGAGGATGCACACTGCTCATTTAGCGAGTGGCTATTCAGTATTTTGTTTTCTTGTCACTGTTTACTCTGAACTTTTCTGACTTATTTATTGTACACTATTCAAACCTTGTTCTGAAGACAGAATGGCTTTTCAATAGCACATGTCAGTATATAGCAGTTGAATGCTTCACAAATACCAACTGTGTTATTTTCCCAATATTCTTGTGAGATAAGGCAGCAAAGTTACCTTCATTTTAGGGACAGGGAATTGAGGCACATAAAACGCATGGCAAAAGGTATCTACTAATTTCAGAAACACAATCTGAGGCGTTTAGGACTTGCTTCTCCAGAACGTTTAGCGCTGTACTGTGTTTCACATGATCAAATGCTAACTTCATTTGCAGCTGGGTTTAGTGTTTCCTCAAGAACTCCAAGTCAGGCACTCAGAAAGCGAGAGACACAAAATAAGAGTATTGAAATAAAAATGCTGGGTTGAAGTGACATGATCACACAGAAGCTCAGTGGTACAGGCAGAGACACATCATACCTTTCATGATATTCTTCAATCGTCTTAATTACAAGACCATCCCTCCTTCAATCCTTGCCCTCTCTACAATCCCAATTTTCAAACATTACAACAAATTGCTGGTTCTCCAGGAAGCGTATTTCACTGTGTACGCCACATTCATCCTCAGATCAGAGGTATTCTGAACAATAAACAACACTAGGGTCCTCTGCAAACAACTGAATATTATCCTGCCATTAAGATCTGAATCACAGCATACACAACACGCCACCTCTGAATAAAGCCTGAAGAGGCATTTCAAAATATCATTCCTTGCATTTTCTGTGTGCGGCTGAAAAATATAAACAGGGCTGAAAACATTAATCCTATTAGATATTTTAACGCCATTAAAAATATTCTAAATTTTAAACCGCAAGCAAACTGGAAATTCACTGCATGGCATTATACAGACACCCACAGGTTAAACAACAGGCCTTTATTTTTTGGCACCAACAGGGACATTGCAGTCACTTGAACTAAGGCAGTAAGTGATAGCATGAATAGGCTGTGATCCTTTTTGAACACCAGCATTACAGAACGATCAGACATTTTCACAGATATTTGCTGACCGCAGAGAAACAATCACATTTAAAGTCCCAGTTTAGGACAAAATGTTTTCTGGTGGACAGACTTCTCTGCTATTTCTGAGGCTGTGACCTCCATCCCTTTCAATCTCTCTTTCTCTTATCAGGCTGATAAGAATCAGGCTGATTTTGCTCACATCAGCAATCCCAGTCCTCGTTGCCCGGGCCTCCCAGCCTGCAACTGGTCTTCATGACAAAACCACCCTTTCTCTGGTCAGCTGCACACCCCAGCCCCTGCCCGGCCAGTCTCAGCTTTCCACTTCCAAGCCCTTAATTCCTACTCCTGCCAGTCCTGGGTTTCTCTTGCCTGTTTCTGCCCATATTCCATCCCCTCCTCCCGTTCCTAATGCCTAGGTCCAAATTCAGCACCCGGCCACCCTTCCCTGTCTCAGACCCTTGTCTTCCTCATCCCCTCTTTTGTCCTCCTCCTCTTCCCACCTTGACCTGCCCTTCTTTCTCCTGCTGGCACTGCTTTCCATCCCCCTTCTCCCGCCCCTGCTCCCCTCCTCTGCCCCGGTGTCCCCTGACCAGAGTGTGGGCACAGGCAGTGGCTCACCCCCTGGTCTGAAAGGCACTGGAAAAGGGTCAAGCTGAATATGCAAAACTGAGTGTGCCTGGGCCAAACTGGTGAATTTTCACAGGATGGCAGAAACACATCCCTGACATAAATGCTAGACATAAAATTGAGTATTTTCATTTGCTCTTTTAAACAATTGAAGATTGTTACTAAGATATTCCAGTGTGTGGATAAACACAAAACTTCCTGTATCCTACAGCAAGCTGGCAGGGCAACATTATTTAGGGAAAATGGTCATAGTCTGGCAAAAGTAAATAGGCAACTAAAAATAGGATCCTACAATTGCCCTCCTTGTGATAATTTCTTAAAGCCTGTATCAAAGAAAGGTAAAGTTTGTCAGTGCAAAAACTAGGGAATGCTGGAGTAAACTTCCTTTGTGCAAAGTTAATTGTATATCTGTGTTATTATAGTGTGTTTCATTACACGACCACATGATCACTATTTTCACCCATGCAGGCTGTCAGAAAGGTTCAAACAGCATCTTCAGAATCCGAGTCTAAGCTTCATTCACTCGATTAAGAAATAACTGGCTACAGAGGAAGGTTATTACTGTACAAGGCACAGCTAGGGAAGGGGCATGATGCGAGTGCTGGTGCTTCCCACCTGCTCTCTTTGGGGCTTTGCAGTGGCAGGAACAATTACAGCGAACCCGGCTAAGCACACAGCTTTAGGGCATGCATTACGAAAGAAAACAGTTCAGACAAAACTTATTACATACCTTGCCTCTGCTCCTCCCTCTGCCTGAAGAAAACTTCTAATTACTTTATTTGTTCTCA